CAAGAAAAAAACTAAAAATAAGTTAATTCAACTTAAAATGGCTGATTAACAGTTTAAATGACTTTTTTTCTTCCCAAACAAACTTTTATGTCTTTAAACACCCTAGATAGCATGCTTCATGTCTTGAATTACTGGTTTTGGCCCACATGCAGAACATCTGAACTTATTTAATAAAGGTGTATTCAATTTACCTAAACTGGGACGCGTTTTCTTTTTTGACAAGTAGCAGAACTTAATTAAGTGGGACAAACCAGATAAAATGCAACAGACTGAATCAGAAACGTTGAAACTTAACAACAGCCAGAAGTAAAATAACCTCTAGCCACCCTTGCCAAATTTAATTACCATTAAATATTTCCATTTATTTCCAGCATTTCCATGGAAACATCAGGAGGTAAATAGCTTGACTATGCGTCACAGATCAAAGTCCCGTCCAATGAAAGCTTTAAAGCTGGATGACTCAGTGTCTCTTCTCTTTGTACGACAGCCCCATTGATTATCAAAAACAGGTCGAACAAGTTTTAAAAAAGCCTTATTATGGTTACAAATCACCTTTGCTCTTCTGAACTGGTTAATCTTTAAACTACTGTATTGTTATCAAAAGAAAATATGCGTCATTACAGTCAGCATTAACACAAACAACCCTGCAAAAACAACCTGTTTGATGGGAGACAAGATTATCAGAGCCAAGTGGTATGAATTGTGTAAGATGGCATTTTAAGCCTGAAAAACATATTCCCATGACATTAGGCCAGTGCCACGCTGAGTTGCCCCACTCATTAGCCAGCCTCAGTTCAGTGAGCTCACATCAGACGGAGGCTTTGTGCCGAATGCCTTTCCCATCACTCACACAAGCAGGAGGTTCGCTCTTTTTTATGCTGAATGCATTCTTTGACCTATTCGAGGTGAACATTAATTCAGGCATCTGCAAATGTCAAACTAAAGTAATTCTAGAGCTGTAAAGGTGTTCAATTACACATGATTAGAATAAACAGTTTTTGATTTATTAAAGACAAAAATATGGTAAAAAAATATAAAAGTTATTAAATATATATACAAAATAAAGTTAAATATAACATTTTTAAAGTAGAAATACAATAAAAGAAAAGAATTACTAAAAAAAAAAATACTACATTGTTTTTTTTTTTAAGCTAAGCCTAAAACTGTCAAAAATGAGTTTTTAGTGGAGTCTGTGCATGGTTCAGGCAAGAATCACTGCAGAAGTTTATTATCTAGGGCTGGAGTTTTAACAAGCCTCTAACCAGAACATTTGCTCTACTTACATTTAAGAAGTCATTATGCTTTTTCTATTTATAGAAACTTTATAAAAAAAATAAAAAAAAAATAAAAATAAAAAAAATCGCTCTTTGCCCCATGACATCAAAACCAAGATAAGGTTTTACAGGAAGACTCATCCACACCGCAAAATCCACATGGAAAACATCTGCAAGGCGTGAACAAGCTACAAACTGACACTATTATCCATCGACTTAAATGAGACATAACACCCTCATCTAATTTCCAACATTGAAGCGCACACCCTAATTTAAGCGTGTTTGACACAGTGGCAGGTTACCCAATCTGTGATACACCTGTGGATTCATGCGAGGAGAAGACATAAGAATAAAAGTGAGAGCGAGAGGGTGTTGTTTTCAAGGAGAATCGCCAATGACTGTTCAATTTTAAGTCAAACCAATGGGTAATTATTGTTTGAAGACACTGGATAGGGGGTACGTGCGAACTCACACACACACACACACACACAGAAATGCACACTATTAGCGTTTTAACTGGAGTCAATGGGGGTTGAATAGAAGGGTAGCTGAATAGCAGGCGCATTGTAATATATGTAACACATCTCTCGTTCAGTTACTGAATCTGGGTGCAGTGACCTGTAAGGTGTGGCTACCTTAGACATAAATGAATCTCTGACAGATGCTTCGCCTTTCCTGGGAAGAGGTAAATGGCAAAAAAAAAAAAGAAAAAAAGCCTGACCACAAACCCACATGCTATCAAGATGCTTTCATTTCGACAGCAGATAATCTTTCAACTTGTCTCCCACTTCTTGAACTTTTTAAAGCCACACGGCATATCAATATAAGGTCACAAAGAAGACTAAGCTGAAAATGTTGCTCTCATGAGCTTATGGTTCACGAAAAACATATGAATTCCCTAACTGAATGGATTGGCAATGGCATACTTCACCCAAAAATGAACATGTAAATTAAAATATCTTAGGCCATGTAACCACCATTTAGGTCACTTTTTGCCTTCACTAATTAATTTTAAAAGGTCCTATGCTGTGACAAATATTTCACTTTATTTGTTTAAAATATTTACTTTTAAATAGTAACAGGTTTAAATAATAAAGTGTTTTTAAGTGCAAATGCTACATAGTCTCTCAATACATATTAGCCAAATAAGTACATTTCATTTAAATACATTTTATGTCAACTATTCATCTCAATCAACATACCGACATCCCTAAAAAATAGCTGAAAAGTTTGATAAATGTGCTTCTCATCTCAGTATAAACACTTCTAGACCTTGTTTATTGTGGGAAGTCTACAGCATTGACTAAGAAACAGATATGGCACGATTTCTAACACACAATCTCCCACATCATTCTGATTACTCTGATAATGAGCGTTGCATTTAATTGCATCACGCAATCTTCTCTCTTCCTGTCTCCTCGTTAATGTGGATTCCATAAACATCTGACGGAGCGAAGTGGCTTTAAAAAGGCTCCTAATGAGCAGCGGGATGTGGACTGTGCTCTGGAGTCTTTCTTGTGGATCCCGGGGTATGTGCATGTCCTGTTTGGATTTCAGAGCCGCTCGGAGATACCGTGCACACTTCCTGTCCATGCCCACACCCTAGAGAGCACACTACCGATAACATCGAAGGAGTTTGAGAGGGTAAAAAAAAAATTTGTCAAGAGGGAGAGAGAAATCTGTGATCCCAAGAAATCTCCAGAAAAAAAAAAAGAGGAGTATGAAAAGACTAATGGAGAAGGGACCCCTGCCGATTGTATGCTAAATGTTTGTGATTGTGGGTGGAAAGAGTATACAAAGATCTGATTCCTGTCACTGGCATCTGTGTTGACAGGAAGTTTACAGTAGGAGCTGAACGCCTCCGTCCACCCCCCTCCCCATCCGCTCTCACTGGCCCAGGAATGTGTGAGCTATGCAGACTGGCAAGGATGAGCTATCTTCATCTAGTAACCAGCCAACCAGAGCAGACTCATAACTTAGGATAGTTTACAGCATGCATAAACAGCCCTGTTGCAAACAACCTCTGCCCCATCATTTCAATAAACAAATGCGGGCCTCAAAGTAGGGTGAGTTCACCTGGGGCTCATGGGAAAGGGAGGCTGTTAAGGCAACAAGATTACTAGTTAAGATGATGATCACTCCCTTGGCTTTGATGATTTAATTATCTAATTAACTACTAGCTGAATGCCTACTTATTACATAATACATGAATCTACACAAAAATACACGCAAGTTCAATGCAACACTCATCATGTGTTATTTTACTATACTGTCAATTATCTTGAGGGTCGCTGCTCTATAAGGAACGGTGTAGTTTTAAGTTAAAGATGCACAGTATGAGCCGAGTGTGGCTCTGGACTCAAGAGAAAGTTTTAAAGGTGAGTCAAGTCATTCAGTAAGTGAAGCGTTTTTATAGTGCCACTTTTGGCAGAGCAGAGCTGGAAAAACCAACAGAAGAGCAGTGAATGGCTCTTTCAATGTGGAATAAACTTAGCCTAACACTGGCACTACTCTTAGAAAACTCTCACAAGGCAAGGTTCATAAGAGAAGAGAAGACTGGACTGCTTTTAAAGCTATAGACCGACAAACAGTCTAGCTGTTTTTTTTTACACTTCTTAACCAATAAATGCCACTATTTGGTGGGTCTTTAAAAAAAAACAGCACCCAAAAACAGTATTCACAAAAAAGTCAATTATTTATTAACAATAGCCATTGATTCTATAGTGATGAAAGTGCATCTTAATAGGCTAAACTGTAAAAAATGTAGCTGAACATAAATTATCCATATTACAAATATATCTATATAGCTATATAAATAAAATACTACTGTAGAAGAATTATTACTAGGAATTATTATATATTTTATAATATTGTTATTACTAATTATAACAATCATTAAAATGTATATGTAGCCTATACTGTTTTAGCCTAATTATAATTTAGTTAGTGTCAGAAAGCAGAAATGAAAAAATAACTAAAAAATCAGTTTGCATATTGGTTAGTGGACACTCAAACATAACATAATATCATAAAAAGGAAATATTGCTTAAACTCTACACTGCAGTACATCATAAAAAAATAAATCGCACACATTATGGCCGTGCCTCAAAATATACCTAGACAGCACTTTTTGACATCTTGGCTACATTGAATGCCCAAAAATGTTGCCTAGGTAGGCAGCTCACTAGGTTGAGGCAATGATTTTCAAAACTGCACATGACTTGTACTCAACAAGCGTGTATCAAATGTGTTCAGAATCAGATATTCTAAAATTAAAATCCAATATAAAACATACCACTCCGGTAATATTTACAAATCTGAGTCAAAAGTTTTCTGAACTTAAAACCACTATAAGTTGTCCAACATGCCCAGTTCAGTATGACAATGTTCATTATCACTACCCAACTTTCATATGTGTGATCAAACAAGCATTTCACATCAAACTAAAACAGTAAAAAAAAGACCCGACTGAAATGTTAAATAAAACTAAAAGCCAGTTTAGAATAAAATGCACTTGATATACCGAAAAGACTGATAACGCATAATCACCGACACTAAGTTACATTCAAAGCGTCATGACCCGATAACACCAGGAATTTACATTCACATCCATGTTTACGACAAGAATAGAATAACAGTGAGCCAACAATAAAATAATACAATACACTGCGAATTACACATAGCTTAACAAATCTACAACCAACAAAAACCCGTCAGATTTCTTACCATGGCTATCATCGTGGATTTGTCCATCCGATGAGGATGGCGTGTTTCTCCGAGTTTTCCAACTGACGTTACTTGTTGATCCCTTTCACACTACGAATACAATACTTTCAGACCAACTATTCAAAAACAATTGACGACGCAAATCAAAGTACATCCAAAGTTTGACGGCCTGTCAGAACCGAATCATTTTCGGCTCTCGGCTGCTTGCTTTCTCATGGAAACGCGGTTGGTGTAATGTGACGCTTTCTCTCTGATCTATGAAAAAGTTAGAGAGAGATCAGCGTGACGTCATGTTACATCCGTCTCATCGACCAATCAGAGAGATGGAGTCTCGACTAATGAAAGAGCCGTGATTTACTGTACTACTACTGGGACGTTCCTACAATTCAATAGCCTACAAGTTATGACATTTTCAATCTTAATGTAATGTTACATTTCACTTGATAATTTCAGTGGATAACAACTAGGATAACAACTTTAAAAAATGGACAACTTTTTACACTGAATTAAAGACACATTTCTAACGACTTTATAAAACCTTACTCTGACAATTATACAAATTAGGTCAATTTAATCAACGTAATCTTATTTAGTTTTCCCTCCTCTCACAAAAATAAAGTAAAAAGCCCCAAGTTTGCTGCGTTACAGGCAAACAATGTTACATTAAGGGTGGATTGCCGCCCCTTGTACCTGAACACACCTAAACTGTCATTATAAATGAACAATTTCCCTTCAAAAAAAATTTAAGAGGGTGATACAAGGGGAATTCTGCTTTCAGCAGGCACAAGGTAATCCTTCATGCCAACCCTCTGATGCAATGCATATAAGTATTGTGAAATCAGGCCCCTCGAGTCGTGTGATCTGCTCCGCTTCATCTGTGCCTCTGAAGGTGTGCATACAAAAAATTATAAATAGCCTTCATTACAATGGTCACAAAACACAGGGTCTTAAATGGATGCTCAATGTTGTCATAGTAGAACAAAAGTGATGTGGTCTCTTTCTTATTTATGTCAGACTCAATGTGTGCGGTTTGTGAGCTCAAGCACTATCAAAGACATACTGTATAATGCTTTTTAGGCTAATTTTATAAATTATTAGTTGTTATCTCATAGGCTAAATTGAATCACCATTTACACTCATAAACAATATATTTCCATCAAGGTTGTTATGCAAATAACCTCGATGTGTTTTAAAAGCACTGCTGTGCTGTCAACATCTTATGATTAAGGCGATGAGGTAAACTTCAATAAATATGATGTTGCAATCTTTCTCCCGACGGCTAAACAGATGGTTAAAAGGTAACCATTAGAAACCAACCCAAACTCACCATATGCATAACTGTAGATTTGTAAGGCAAATCAGGTTTGGGATTTGAGTACTACTTGGCAGAATAGGGAAACTGATTGTCTTCTTCTGATTGGGATTCACACATCATTTACAGTACATGCTCAGGTTTGTCATAGACATTCATGGCACAGTATACAGAATTATGTTTCATGCAATTCATATGATCAGCTTTAAAGGGCATTTTTTCATGCCATATATAGGTTAGATTTTTATATGCTCATGGTTCATGACTTTTGAACCCTATGGCTTTTGTAATGGCCCAGATTTCTTAATTTTCATAAAATCTAAAATCAGACAGAGAAAAACAGATCCATACATATTACTTGTTTATTTATTTAAATACAAAAGCAAAATCACAAGGAAACACGCTATCTTTTTAAGACATATGGATATGCTCATGCATGCTGCCTTACCTCAGTAGTCTTTCTAAACATTAGTACAAAAGGTGGCAGAAGACACATTGACAACCTGGTATGCATGCTATGCTGAGAGCTTAGTCTAAAGAGGTTCAGAAAATATAAGCGAGAGAGAGAGAGAGAGAGAGAGAGAGAGAGAGAGAGAGAGAGAGAGAGAGAGAGAGAGAGAGAGAGAGAGAGAGAGAGAGAGAGAGAGAGAGAGAGAGAGAGAGAGAGAGAGAGAGAGAGAGAGAGAGAGAGAGAGAGAGAGAGAGAGAGAGAGAGAGAGAGTGAGAGAGTGAGAGAGAGAAATTACAAAAGGAAAATATAGTGTTTTTGGCATTTTTAAATATGTGAATAGATGTCTAAAAGCTCCAATAATCTTCTCAGTGTCATACAATAATCCACACATCTGTGCAGCTGTTTTAGATTGTATGTTTCCATGAAACAATGCATGTTTTACATCAAATATTAATCAACTTTCATGCGACATGGTTTTTCATGCAGATCTTCCCCAATACAAATTCATAATGACTAGCACCTAACAATAAAATAAAACAAATATATAAGTACTTGGCAAACCGTGAAAACCAAGGAAACAGGAATCAATGATAATCAACTTAGGGTACATTTACTTTACATGACAACGAAGTACTAAAATGGAAAAGGTTTTCCTTTGCGGTTTTCATGTACAGACGACAACGTTGTCAAAACGATCCCTGTTCACACGGATCCGCTAAACGACTAAAAACGCTGTATTTTTCATGTACAGACGACAACGTTGTCAAAACGATCCCCGTTCACACGGAAATGCTGTATTATCCATGCCAGGCCAGTAGTTGGCGATGTCCCTTTGTAAAGAAACACTACACGCCTATAGACTGTACATGATGTAATACGCATGTGTATGGCATCACAGTTTTCACAAATGCGTGATTTTGCAGTTTACACGGAGGCGATAACGGCATCGTTTTAAAAAGCTTGGACTTTGAAACACGTTTTTTAAAAGCTTGTTTTCAGGCCCCCAAATTACCATTTTCATGAAAACGAACGGCCAAAACGCATAAAAAGTTTTCCGTTTTTAGTTGAAAATGGTGTTGTGTAAACAACAGAGTCCATGAAAAACTAAACTCAAATTTACATCTAGCTAGTGATGGGCTTTATTAGATTAAAACATCCACCCTGTTACTTAAAGGTGCTCTAAGCGATGTCACGTGTTTTTTAGGCCAAAACTTTTTTTGTCACATATACAGCAAACATCTCCTCACTATCCGCTAGCTGCCTGTCCCCTGAACACACTGTAAAAAAACGCGGTCTCTGCAGACACCCCAGGCTCCACAAATGGCAACAAAAACAAACTGGGCTTACCCGCACCACGAAACATAACTAACTGTTCCAGCCAATGACCGACAAGAAGGGTTTGGGGGTGTGGTTTGGTGGGTTAGTGTGCGGATGAGGAGGAGGGAGGGTCTAGCTAGCCTCCGTTTTGTTTGACAAAAGTTCGAACGTCAACAAGAAGTGACGTCACCCAGGATCGCTTAGAGAACCTTTAATGCATTTTAAATGTAACAGGGTGGACAACTGCCATAGAATGTGAATTTCAAATTTGAAATATTTGCTCAGGATTATTAGGTTGTACTAGCTAGCCAGAGCTTGACCAGAGTGTTTTTATGATAGACAGACATTTTCTCCCTCTGACAAGACTAAAAAAATTATTGAACTTCAAAACTGTTGTTTTCAACAAACCTGCTCAATCCACCCAACTGTAGGAATGACCCGGACACCATTTTTTTTTTACGAATTTAAAATCCATATTATACATAATAATAAATCAATTTATAGTGGCAGGCACCATAGCAAATTCTTTATATCCGAGAAATACATTTTTGCGCAAAAAAAAAAAAAAGGCATATACGAGCGCTGTGGCGAGCCTGTGATGACAAGTTGGGAATGCCTTCTGCTTTTTTGAGTTGAAATCTATTGGAAAACACCGCAGAGGCATTATTGTTCACATTGTGGGAAGGGCTCCCTCAGCATAGCGCTATGAGTAATGCCTGTGGCCGGCCGCAGAGAATGCCACTCTCACACACTCCACTGGATTAAGGTCAACTTTGCATGGAAGTGTTGCTTACAGGCATCTGACTGTTACTTTTCACACTAGCTTAATTAACCAAGTCTGCGCTATTCGCCTCAAAATCTCTCTTTCACTCCCACATGCATAAACAAACAAAGCAAAAAGTCATTATTCCTACTGTTTTTGGAGCTCAAAGTGTACATGGAAGGGTCAGACAGTGAACTCATGCCTGATGGTGGATTTACCGCTGGACAGGCCTAATTATCACATATTTTTGCCATCACTAATTTAAGAAGAGATTCTTTCCATGCCTCCTCCTCTCTATTTAATTATTTTTAAGAGGAAGGGTTTTGGGTGAGTCCAAGGACACTGTTTGGAATGCTGGAAGATTTTGCACAAACATTCGCATGGCTAAAGGGTTTTTTTTTTTTTTTTTTTTTGAAGAGGCAGCAGAAGTATGCAGTCAGAGGAACGCAGATTATGTTTGACAAAATACAGGATGGTGGCGGTTGACACCAGGATACTCTCGTCTGGGATGCAGGATGTGTCCCATAATTCAGAGCAATGATCTGTGTGGCCTCATGCTCGGGTAAATGTGAAGCAGAATCATATTTTTGTGTTCTATAAATCATATTGGTGTATACATTTTTGAGAACAAGTGAACAGGATGTTCAGCACATGGCACTGACAAATGCTTGGAAACAGTTTTGATTTAGTACAGCTACTATCAAGATTGTAAGCATGACTCTTTGAGAAGATTGTCTATTTATGTCACAACACATGGAGACACACATGCTGTTTATTGTTTTGTGGAACACACAAAAAGGTTTTTTTTTTTTTAAAGAATTTTCACATTCTTTAGATTTTTATAGTGACCACTTCTGAACAAATAACATTAACAGCAATATGAGCTGGATGATAATGAAATAACTGAATATTTATTTTATGTGCATTCATTGTTATATTTGCGTATACCTACTACCTACCTGGGCGAAAATGGGCCAAGCCAAAAATGGCCAAATATTTAGTAGTCTTTGAATGGTCTTCACCGTTTTAATCACAAATCACTGGTCGGGAAATTAGCAAGAATTGCTAGCCTAGCAATAGCTTAATTTAGCATAGAATAACTTAGCATAGAATAGCCTTCCCCAACTTGCAGACAGCTTTTTACAGGAAGAAGAGTGAGTGTTGTTCCACTCAATGTTAATGGCTTCGAACAGTTCATGAGTAGTTGAAAAATGTCTCCCAGTTTGTTGGAATTTAAAGGGATAGTAACCCCCAAAAATGAAAATTGTCATAATTTACTCACCTTTGCGTTATTCCAAACCTATGAGATTCTTTGTTCTGTTGAATACAAAATGGAAATCAAATGGAAGTCAATGGTGCCCGTCAACTGTTTGGTTATCAACATTCTTCAAAATATCTTCTTTTGTGTT